TCCTAACTCCAGCCTTGAGCCCTGCTTTTCCCCCATCACATGCATGAACATGGACATACAGGCTGGCCAGAAAGGTGGTGGAGTCCCCATCCCTGGAGGTGTTCGAGAAGTGTGTGGATGTGGCACTTGGGGACATGGTTTAGTGATCATGGTGGGGTTGGGTTGGTGGTTGGACTGGATGATCTTAGAGGTCTCTTCCAACCTTAATGATTCTGTGATTCTGTGACACCCTCAAACACAATCATGCTGCTTGGGAGGAAGGGTGGGACATCTGCCAAAGCCTCGCTTGCCCTCCCATTTTGCACCCACACTGCATAAAGCAAATGAGGTTAGTGCATTAGAGGCGTTGGTCCTGGAAAGCAGTGGTCATGGATTTGGTTGTTTTCACCACTGCTTTTATGAGATGCCTTCAGCCTGTCAGGCAGGGAAGGAGCCCTTGGAAATCCCTCTCCTTCTGACAGATCGGCAGGAGGTGGTGCTAGCAAAGTCCTCCAAGGGCAAGTAGGTGCTCTGAAAGGTTTCTTCCCTGTCCCCTTTCCAGTGAAGCTCCTGCCTGTGAAAAGCATCTTGCTGCAGAATGAAACCACCGACACACTTCAGGCAAGGTGGAGCCCCGTCCGAGGAGCAACGGGGTACAGGCTCACTTGGACATCAGCAGGTAGAGACACAGGGTGGGGTGCATGCATCAGTGAGCAGGGAGATGGAGAGACAGGAGATGTGAGATCTCTAAGGCATTGGATGCATCAACAACTTCTTTGTCCAGCTTTGCAGCAAGAAACTGGAGGGAAACTGTTTTTTTGAGGTCTATGAGCAGTGGAGTTTTCTGTACATAAGGATAAATCAGCAGCTTGTGACAGAGATCTATGTTGTGTGCATTGATGGTAAACTCTGCCATGGATGCAAAAATACCTGCTCTGGTTCTGCATAAAGTATCCAGCCTTAGTAACATGGGATTAGCGTCAGATTTACTGGATCTGAACAGCCTTGGGAAGGGTTAATAGCTGGAGAGAAGCTGGTAAAGTACTCCATGCAGAGCTGCACATCCCATGGCTCCTGAGCATCTGGGGTTACCCCCTTTTTGGGGGGACTGGTACCACATTGCAGACAGGCAGCGCCTATGCTTGTTGCTTTTCTCTGCAACACTAAAATCTGGCTTTGTCTCTCAGCATCTCATAATTCATCCTCATTCTCAGATAAATTTTAGTGTTTGAAGACAGATCTGCATTTGCAGCTGGAGCTTCTCCCCTGCCCTGAACCCAAACATATTTTCATCTCTGGTGTGGGGGAGCAGAAGTTAGAAATTCAGGTTTGATGGCATATTTTGGCCTTGGGAGATGGATGTTTCTGTGGTTCAAAGATGAGATGGGATGTCAGGACACCTGGGCTCCATCACAGGCTTTGAATAAATAACACACTCAACTCCCCTGATTATGAAACGAGGAGACATCTCCTGTTAGGGGAGGGGGCAGTTGCTGGAGAACTCCTCCAAAGGTCATCAGAAGGGAAAAATCTTTACAGGGAAGATATAAAACTGCTTCTGTTGCTGTGTAATGAATGTCTTTCCAGTAAAAATCATGGCACACCCCAAAAATTCAGCTGTTTAGCCAGTTTTCACCTGTTACCCCAGCTAGAAATGGAGCACATGTGCTCAGCCTGCCACGTCTTTGGAGGGGGGACACCCCTTCTTCAGGGGACAGTGAGGGACATCCTCAGATGAAGTGGCAAGGGCACATCCTCTACACTCCGGATTTGCTCTTCTCGAGCAGTTCTTTCACCTGGTACCAGTTCAGCCCAAATCCAGGGGTGGCAAAACCCCAAGAGGCAGCCCACCCTTACTGATGGGCCCTGCGGGATCCCCCTCTGATGCTCCATCCCATCCCATCCCAGAGCTGTGTGTTACTGGTGTTGGGATCCAGACACCTTCTGCACCTCTCTGTGCAGCCGTCCCAAGCACTGGAGGTTTTTAATTTTTCTTCTCTGATCTCTAAGACAGAGAATAGATAAACATGAACGAGTGGCTGATGTGCAGAAGTCCATGGGGTGGGAGAGGGAGGGGGATGGGGCTCAGGGTGCTGGTGGAGCAGAAGATGAGGACATGGCACCCTCCAGTGACCAAACTGCAAATGGCAGCTTCACCCTCTAAAAAAACTCCAACATGCTGCTGCCTGTACCTCTCTGCCCCCCCTGAAATGGGGTGTGATCACCAGGATTGGGTTTTAACTCTTCTCCTGCCATGCCTCCCTCTAGAGCGATGTCAAGAGGTTAAGCTGAGCAGTTTTCAGTCCACAACAGGATACAGAAATGAGAAAATGTATTATTTTTTTTTTTTACATCTCCTGGTTCCAGCATCCTGCAGGGCAGGACAGCACCAGCACTGAGCCACCCAGGGCTGGCCTGAGTGTGAACTCTCTTATGGGACTGCTTGCAGCCCCATATCTGGCCGTTTGTGTGTTGCTACTTGGTTTATTTCCCTTGGCCTGCAAAGCCTTGGGCTGCCTTGATCTGTTGGTGATAGCTGAGGTCTGCCTGAGTGCTGTGGGTTATTTCTACCTGCATACACATTATCTCCACAACCAAGGTATGTGCTCATTGCACCAAGCCCGATATCTACCATCCTCATCTTGAGGACCTTGCCAGATGTGCAAGCCAGGAGGATAAAATGCTGTTCAATCTCACTCACTGTGTAGTTCTCAAATGGTTGTTTGCATGATTGTCCTCTGCCCTCCAAGACAAGGAGACCCAAGAAGGGTGGTCCTCCTGGGTCTGACCCAAGGGAGCCCAGACGTCTCCCTTACGAGGAGCGGCTGAGGGAGCTGGGGCTCTTGAGCTTGGAGCAGAGGAGTCTGAGGGGTGCCCTCATTCATGGGGATCAATTTGGAAAGGGCAGTGTCAGGAGGAAGGAGCCAGGCTCTGCTCTGTGATGTCCAATGCCAGGACGAGGGCAATGGGTGCAAGCTGGAGCATAGGAGGTTCAACCTGAACATGAGGACAAACTTCTTTACTGTGAAGGTCCAGAGCATGGCCCAGGCTGCCCAAAGAGGTTGTGGAGTCTCCTTCTCTGCAGACATTCAAAACCCGCCTGGACGCCTTCCTGTGCGACCTGCTCTGGTGATCCTGCTCTGGCAGGGGTTGGACTGGATGATCTTTTGAGGTCCCTTCCAACTCCTAACATTCTGTGGTTCTGTGACATCCTTTCCCTTTGCAGAGGGCAGCATCCAGGACATCAACCTCAGCAACACCTACAGCTACTACATGATCCAGGGGCTGCAGCCCGGCACAGAGTACACTGTCACCATCAACCCCATCTTTGGGGATGTCGAGGGGCCAGTGGTGAGCAGTAAAGCAACGACAGGTAAGTGGCCTACAGCAGGAGTGGGAGCCAGCCCAAGCAGATACACAGAGGTGGTGTCATTTGGAGTCACCACCCTGCCTGTCATCTGGTACAGAAAGCAGGCTGGGTCATTACAGGTTTTGAGGGCCACTTAGAAGCTGTTGGGACCTTGATGCAACGGGGCAACTCTTCTCTCTTGCAGTGGCATCAAGCACTGTCCAGATGCTAAAAGTGAGTGAGATTTCCATCAACGGCGCTCTGGTCTCCTGGGACTCAGTTGCTGGGGCCACCGGGTACCGGGTGACGTGGGGTCCTACACCAGGTAAGATCCTGCTCTCCTCCAGCCTGCATCACCTCCAGCCTGCATCACCTCCACCTCCTTCTGTAGCCTGGGAGATAAAGCACAGGGAACCTCAAGGAGGGTGGGTATAGGGATGGGTCCAGCTCATTAATTGGTCTGAGCAGCCTCTCCCACAGCTTCAGGGCATGAACCGAAACCAGAAATTATTCCTGAACTTGACCCACAATGAAACTGCATTCAGTCTGACCCCAGCCCAACGCATATCCCAGCAGGTGCAAGAGTCCTACACCATCTTGCCTGGTCATCCAGCACAGGGGCTTTGCAACTCCATGGAGATGCTGGGGAGGGTCATAGCACATGCTGAAGCCACCTCTGGACTGCACCAGTTACTGTGGGTGCTGGATGTGAGAGCTGGTTTGGTTCCTTCAGTTCTTCTCAGCTGGTTTGGTTCCTTTAGTTATTTGAATTCCCAAATAAATAACACGGTGTCATTCCCAGCATGCAATAGAGCTGCTCTCCAGACTCTTCAGTCTTCCTCCTCTTCTATTTTATTTTCTCTCTCCCAAAGAGTTCTTTGGCAAAGACCGTCCTCACCAGCTGGCCCTCAACAAGTCGATCACAGCCTACCAGCTCCGCAACCTGGCCCATGACACCGAGTATGTGATTTCCCTCTATGTGCTCTTTGGCTCGGTGGAGGGACCAGGGATCACAACCTCAGCCAGGACATGTGAGTATAGGCAGGGTGTTCAAGTAGCTACCACAACACACAACCCTTTCATGGATGGTTTGACCTTGTGTCACCCTAAAAAGCCTTTACACCTCACTTCTAGCACTTCATGTTGAGGGCACCATAGTGGCGGTCCTTTGCCCTGCTGACCTGCTGTGTCTGGTAGATGAGACTCTAAATTTCAAAGACTCTGAGTTTTCTACCTGGGATCCTTCAGGTGCAAACTGAAGCCAATGCGCTCTGCAGTGGATCCATTCATGTGCTATGGGTTTGGGCAGATATTCAGATAGGAACTGCCCAATCTGTACTCACTGAACTTCCAGGCATCCCAAAATCCAGGCCAATGGCCAAAGTCTTCAACATTATCAAAGAGTCCAGCTGAAAAAAAGATGAGACCTGGGTGAAGTCTGCTGTAGGGAGCCATAGGGAGATAAAGGGAGAGGAACATCCTTACATGGTACTTTCTGCCTGGTGAGAAGCTGATGTTCAGCACACATGGGAGCTCTGGGTTCATCCCAGATGATCCCAGATGGTTCATCCTCCAGGCAATGTGGGAGCACTAGGATCTGGATTCAGCAACTCCCTGGATCCCTGTCCTGGGCTTGCAGAGATGTTTCCAACTGGATCTAGTGCAGAACACACTCCTCAGTGCTCGGTGGGGCAGGGTGTACACATGTGGCCCAGACCTCAAGCAGTGCAAACCAATGTCTCACAAGATGAGGACGATCAGACACTGAGAGTAAGCAGAGATACTGGTTTTAACTCTTTTACAGAATTTTGGCCTTGTTATATGGACAACAAGAAGTCCTGTTGGACAGTAGTCTAATGCTGTCTTCACTTTGCAGCTCCTCTTGGCTACGTCCCCAATTTCAAGGTGATGTCCTACACCAGCACAAGCCTGTCACTGGTGTGGAGTGCCACAGCAGCTGCCACCAAATTCAAAGTCACCTGGAGTCCTGTGGGGGCAGGCAAAGGTGAGGGGAGAAAGGGAGCACATGGACTAGCATGGACTCATGCCATGGCCATGGGAGCCACCTTTCCAAACTTTGATCTACTGCTTGGAGTAGGAAAGAGATCTCACTGTTGAGGAACAAAGTCCTGCCATCAGCCTGCGTTGGCTCCTTCCCTGTTTGTATTCGTGCACTTCTATTTATGAAGTTAATCCCTAAAGCTCTGAATCAGTAGTACAACAAGGAATGGCTATTTCCTTTGCAGGGGATGCTGCCAACCTCACTGGTGAGCTACTGGCCCAGGTTGTCCAGAGAAGCTGTGGGTGCCCCCTCCCTGGCAGTGCCCAAGGCCAGGTTGGATGGGGCTTGGAGCAGCCTGGGCTGGTGGAGGTGTCCCTGCCCATGGGGGGGTTGAACTGGGGGAGCTTTAAGGTCCCTTCCCATCCAAACCATTCTGTGATTTGATGATTCTAAGTATTCCTTTTTCTTTTACAGAAAAACAGGCTGCCAGGACTCAGTACCTGGGCAGTAGGGTGCTGTCTTACCAGATTGACCATTTGCTGCCTGACACCTTGTATAAAGTCAGTGTTCGGGCTGTCTTCAGCAAGACCGAGGGGCCGGAGGTGACTCTGACTCACCGCACAGGTATGTCCTAGTGGAACAACCCCCTTTGTGTTGGGATGCAAAGGCTGGATTCCTGGTCTTGTGCATTGCATTTTGATGGTGAAGTTACATGAGTAGCCCTTGTAGCTGGTAGCAGTAATCCATGGCTGTTACTATGGGTAGGAGTGGACACGTTCTTCTGGCACGTTAAACAGGGTTAGCATGGGTAGACAACCCTGGACGTATTAACGCGCTCCTCATGTCCCTGTGTGGTGTTACCAGAGTTTGACGCAGGCAATAAGAGATGTGGATAAGATCTCTCAACTTCACTGCACAGTGCTCCTCTCCATGGATTCATTAGGAAATGCAGCTTGGCATCCCTGGGTAATGTCTGGAAAGCAGATAATTCATAAATACACAAATTTTTCTTCAGCACCATAGCTTAGAGCCATGAACTCTGCATAACTTGGGCTGCTACCTCAGATATCTCATCCTGGTTTATTTTTGCAGCATCTCTTGCAGACTCCAACTCTATCCAGACCATCCAAGATCTGAGAATTACTGAGACTGGCGTAAATAGTTTGAAGCTGTCTTGGAGGAGGTTTCCTGGAGTAACTAATTATAAGATATCTTGGGTGCCATTCAGTGGTAAGCAACCTGGTCTCTTGGTAAGGTGCGGTATGAGTACAAGAGCACAAGTAACCCCAGAAAATAGGAGCTTAGCCCCTTTTGGAACAGATGATTGGGGTAAATGAGGACTGCAATGTGTTCGGGAACAGGTTGAAGCCAGGGTTTCACGCGTAAAAAAGATATCAGTTGGATATACGTATGGTTGGGATGTAAGAAATCAGAGCTGTTGCCTTCCAGCAGCATACGTGATGCCTTTGTGACCAGGTCTCTCACCTGCTCATGCCTCAGTTTCCCCATATGGAAAATGAGCACATAATACTCTCTCTTGTCCAGGTCCTGTAAGGTATGTGGGAGGAAGCTGCTGTAACAGTAATTGTTAATTGCAATTACTCTGCCCTTTCCGTGTGACAGTGGGGTTTTTTTGAATGTTTCCTCTTAGGTGGCTTGGAAACCTCCCAGGTGGTTCCAGCAGAGACAGTCTCCTTCACGATCCCCAAACTGAAGGGGAGCACCACCTACACCATCTGCATGTCTGCAATGATCGGGGGACGGGAGGGAAGCCCCACGCTCCTCACAGCTAAAACCTGTGAGTACAGAACTCTAGTGAGAACAAGAGCATCTCCACATTAGTGCTGGGGGCTGTCTCTTCCTAGGGGCTCTAATGGGAGGTGAGGATGGAAAAAGAGTAATATTGGCTGTTAGACACCTTACTGCGTTTCAGGTCCTACAAGCCAGCATGCCAGAAAACAAGTGTTGGTTCTTTCTCCTTATTACTGAGAAATGCTGGGACTTTGCCTGTCTTTCCCTGCCAATAATCACTGTGAGATGCTATTTTTGTGGCACTTTATTTTGGAATTACCTCTGTAGTTACAATATTTTGACCGTTTCAAGTAGCTAAAGGCAAACATCACTCATGACCCTGTGGCATCATGCAGCTTGGTTGATGCTCAAAAATAGGTAAATTTGGAGGTCAAGTGATGGAGAATGTGGGGGTGTGGAGCCAGTGCTGAGGTTTCAGCAACTGGCACAAGTGAGGAGGCAAAAAATGTATTGCACATGAATCACAGAATATGAGGAGTTGGAAGGGC